CCCCACTGTATGCCATATTCGACTACTTTCACTGTACTCATCTTACCTTTTGTCTGCCTTTGTATCTCTCTGTCTCTTTTACATCTGTGAATCGCTCTTCTTTTCCCCTGTTGAATTTTTCTCACTTTAATGTTCTTCTCTTCTGTAAAGCCCGAAGTCAACTAAAGGGCTAATGATTACTATCAAAATGCCTGCCATTTGAAATTAATAAATCTTGACAATTAACTCACAAAAAAATTTCGCAATCACCACGTTAAAACCTAAGTCATAGGCACTACTGTGATCTATATGAAACTTGTGGATTAACTCAGTCTTAGCTCTTTTCTTGAAAAAGGTAACAAAGAAATCAACTAAAATGTTAAATAAAACATATGTTGAATACTTACATCCTGAGTGATCTTCCCTTGGCTCGAGCTGCCGTTCGCCAGGGAACTCCTCGAATCACAGGGCTATCTGAAATGTCGTCGAAACTTACGAGACTGCTTTGGGAGTTCTCATCGCCATTAAGTTTAGCATCTGTGAAACTTCTTTCTCGGGTCCTTTGGAAAGAGTCCTGAGACAAAACGGTTGACGATTGGGCTTTTCTTAGCTTATTACGTCGTAAAGAAGATTGAGGTTTGTTGCTACGTGGCAAACTTCGAGTTCGAGCGAGGGACCCACCCGCAGGCTAAAGTAACACAAAGAATTTAGTTTTTTGAGGATTTGCACTTGACTTGGGACAAACTTAAGGTAATTATGAAATTGTTGTGATGGAAAATCTCGAATTCTGTCCGCCTTCTTAGTTGATCAATAATAACTAATCATTACTGTTGCATGCTGTGCAAGGTTCATGTGGAAGCTGACGTAGTGGATTTTTACACTGATCACGAAGCCTTGGCGCATGATAGTGCAAATCGTCAGTTTACGGAAAATTTCTTCATTTTCTTCTTTTATGACAACAGTTAGGGCACCTTAAAGTTGAAAGGTCGATAGACCCGTAAACTCAAATACCGCGTAAAGCCTACCTCCAAATTAGCAATAAAATAGGGCATAAAATTAACACCACAGGACTCGAAATTTCGTAACTAGCAGGACTTAAATATAAAAAAAGAGAATTTAGAATGAATTAATTTATTAGGCTGGAATAGTAAATATAAAGCCGAAAATAAGTGGTTTGAAGGGTAATTCAGAGGTAGAATAGATGGAAATTGAGGGAATAGGGAGAATTGACAGGAGGGGGGCAAATCGATGTACAAAATAACGTCATAGTCAATACGACTAATGCATTTCTTTAACAACAACAATGGCTGAAGTGCTAATTAATTAATTAAATTGAGGGAGCTACAATACAAATTTAATTGAAATATTAGTTTGTTTCAAACGTCAGGCGTTTTGAAAGTTATTATTAGCCCTTTGACTGACTTCGAATTTCACAGAGGGGAGGAACATTAAAGTGGGAAAAATTCGATAGGGNTTAATTGCCTTAATAAATTTCATGATAGGATTTACTGTTCAACAGCAGAATACAAATGAGTAGTTTTCACGATTGATCGCAAAGGGTAGAGGATGGGCGGTTGGCACCCTCGAGATTAAAGCACATCCGTAATATTTCATTGTCATAACAGATGAAATACTAGTTTAACGTTTTTGCGATCCAATCTACTTCTAATTAAATTATTAAATTTGGATGCATTTTCGGAAATTGCTTGAAATTGTATTTATTATTGATAAAATTCACAAATAGTTGGTAAGGAAAAAAGTTAATTAATCTAATTTTTTGCATAGAGTAGTACTTAAATACCTTTAGGGCTGTACTGTCCTACTACAAGACAAGCTCAATTGCTACTAGACTCATAACAGAAGGCGCTATTGTCGTTCGAGACATGTTTAATACGCCTATATCTTTCACCTGATTCCACCAAAACTCATCACATCGCTTCCAGCCTGCTGTAAAACACGTGTGTGTGTGTGTGGTTGGGTGCATTTTTTAAAGAAACGATTCTAGAGATAAAGTGTTAAATTACAATTTAATATGATTGCCAGATAAGATTTAATAATTAACCTGTTCAAAACAGCATACAGATTGAGTCAAAATAACAACTTCAAGTTTGAGTTCCGCCTTTCATAGCCAATTCAAATAATATTATGGTTGCAACGCAGGTATAGATCATATCGGGGTAAGTGCTTAAATCGTTAGATTTGACTTTGAGGTGTTCTCCGTATCGTTCTTATCCCTCTTCCTTGCCTCCATATTCATATAGTTTGACTAAAATTAGTAGTCAGTCCTTCCCCAATATCCCACAAATTCATAAGGGAAACATAAATCTGTTTTCTTATAAAAAAATAATTCAAGCAAACTGAAACTTTTGCCTTATGTTGCCTCACTAGAACTGCGAAATTTAAGTGAGCATACGTATTGTAAAACGTAAGGATAGAGGGGAGATAGTGAAGATGGGAGAGAAATGGCATTGAAATTATGGGAATATGAAAACAAACATCTTAAGGAGCTTGGTTAAATAAATCATATCGAAGCAATGGCAGGAATTACACTAATTAGTTCGATCTTTTACGTCTAGATTTGGGAAATTTTGTTCCTTAACTAGCGTTAAGACACAGATGGTTTCAACCCGCTCACTTTCTTATGAAGACTGCTGACGATTTGTGCATTTACATGGGAGATACTTAAATTTGGATCCTTGAACGATAAAGAAAAGTATCTCCTTTAGACGAAAAAATCATTATCCAAATCACTACTTCAGCCACTATTTTGCACCTCTAGATATTTTATTTAATCGCCTACTTGTCTTTACTAGTATTTCTCCATTCTAAGTTAAAAAAAACTTCTTTAAGAATATTTGTGGACTGTGCATCTTCATTCTTTAAAATTAAAACGCCACCTATTAGCTCCTTAGCAACATCTACATGATAACAAAATGTAATGCAAAATTTTATTGGGGTTGATTTAAATTAGCTTCATCAAAAAAGACTGTAATTTCAGGAAATTTAACGGAAAAAGTATTTAAAAAGGGGTAAAATAAATTGACTTCATGTGTAGCGGGTCGCTACGCTAGTAAAGCCTGATTGACTCAGAAATCTCTATGGCAGATTCTCCAACATCTAGCTAGACTGCCTGAACAACCTAAGCTATAGCCCAGCTATTGGGGAAACAGACGTGTAGCACTAAATACGTTTATTCGGTACGTATATTGATAGCAAAGTATTGAGTTTGGCAAAGCGATTAGTTATCAGATAACTCCAGCATAATTCATGTGATCATTAATAGCTAAAATATTTCTGAGTAGGGTTCTATAGCAGGATTTATTTTTGATCATTGATGATGTGTCCCGCACATGAAAGCAATAAGGTTGTTAAAGGATTGGCAACCAAATAAATGATTTACATAGAAAAACCTAAAAAACCTATTATCTTAAATTAGATTTGCTCTTAGAGGCTCCGATAAATCACTACTCCGCTTTCATCAGCATTTAGTTGTTAATAATAGCCAAAACAACATTCAAAGTTAATTTAGGTAGTAGGATAGGTAGGTAAAATTTTGTTCAAATTTGAGAATAAACATCAAAATAAGTGGGTGCTTTATTAATTTTTAAAGTGTCATGAAAAAACCTAAACAAATTAAGAAACACAAATTTTATGCAGAATCATTGAAAAGATAGACGATAAATGGTCATTAAATAAATTTTGTACATTAGTCAGTACTGCGATTTATTAATGGGGATGGGAACAAACGAAGAACTAAGTTAAGAACTGCAGACTTCGACCGAATATATTCAAAGACGAAGTCGGGAAATATTGTCAAGTAAAATATTTTCGAAAACACGATTTTGCAATTAAAACTTTTTTTTGCTTTTCCCCAACTAACTAACCTTAAAACTTGGACGGTGTATTTGCTTTGGGGGTGGAAAGGATTTTGGTTGATAGTCAGGATTGGTTGTAGATACGCGTCGAGGCGCTGTTGGAGTATCTAAGTCCTTCCTCACGACACCCTTCATTCCAGGCCAATCTGTAACTTGACCATCATTGACTAGTTCACTCCGTACTTGCAGCCAATTGAACTAGAATTCAGCACGTATTGATATTATTTATAGATGTTGTGAAAGCAACAAAGCTTGCAATCATTGAATAATACGTTAGTTTAGAATATATTCCTTTAATATTTGCGATTTTTTGCACAAAGTTTTATACCGACATTAGTTAACGGAATCAAGTCAAAATTTTTGTTTACAATATATAAGATTATTACGTAATTATTTCACAAATGCCATTAGAAAGTTTATTCGGGGATTAAATTTAGTAAAAAGAATGCAATGACAGCGAATGGCGGAAGGGAAAGTGAGATATCGGCACTATGAAACCGAACAAAATTTATTAAAACTGCAAATAATAGCTAATTGCAGCTAACACTCCCATATACGCAAAGATGAGAGTGACGCCGCTTACCAGTCTCTTCAAATTGAGCTTTCTTCAGTTTTGGCAAGTATTTAAGCACGTTTTGGAAAAAATCGATATTTGTAACGAATATTTCATCCAACTATATATGGAATTATGCAATAACAACGACGTCACATTCTCAAGTCGGCAAAATCTCTAGAGCAAGAAGTCAAATACCACTCGCGTTTTTAAAACCGTATTTCTCAAGACAAATGGAGTTTTCTTAAATCGTATCATACTTAATCCTTTTGATATCTGTTCGTTACTATGTCCCATTCTTGATCAGGCTGCAAACTTTCCATTTCCTTATTAGCAGCAAAATGGAACTAATAAGTTAAGTGAGTGTCAAAGCAATGCCAGCAAATATGAATGACGTAGGACCCAAATCGTGTCAGTATGAGAAATGCACTCCAGGTGTCTTTAACGTTACCATAACTCAAAGCTTACCATGATTGTCATTTAACTATCAAAGTGGTTACTAATAAATAGATTTGAAATGAATTGATATCAAATGTCAGGCGTCTTGATAGTAATCATTAGCCCTTTTGATGACTTCAGGCCTCACAGAGAGGAAAAAACTACAAATTCACAAAGATTTGAGAGGAAGGGGGGGGACAGAAGAGTGGTTCACAGATGTAAAAGAGACAGACACAAAGGTAGAAAAAAGGTGAGGTGTAAAAGAGACAGACACAAAGGTAGATGAAAGGTGAGGTAAGTGTAAAAGAGACAGACACAAAGGTAGAAAAAAGGTGAGGTAAGTAAGAGACAAACACAAAGGTAGAACAAAGGTGAGGTGAGAATAAAAGACACAAAGGTAGAAAAAAGGTGAGGTGAATACTGTGGAAGTTTTCGAATATGGCAAACAGTGAGGCCGTAGTAATTTGAAGTGAGAAGTCAACTGCCAGTTAATAGACTTTTTTGGCGTATGAGTATACGTTGTCCAGGGCGTACCACGTGGAGGTTAGTCTATTGCACACCCCATTCCGACTATATTAGTGTGAGTCAATTGTAGCCTAAAAACCTGACACTTGGCTTTTAAAGGTACAACACTCACATCCCCAACTGCCAACGTTATCAAAGAAGCTCGTTGAGTAATGAAATTATTTCTTAAATAAAACTCAACCGTTGATTGAACATAAATAATGCATTTTCAATTTGAATTAGAAATTAAAAGAATTTAATATTTAATCCATTTATGCTTGTCAATTGCAAAGAAATTTTGTCTTCCATTTCTAAATTTCGCGATTGGTGTTAATAAACGAGGCTGGGGTGAACTGTCGCCTTGGAATGTAATTAGGTTAATAGACGTAAACAATTGGCATGAAGGTGTTTCGATCAAATTTACTATTGCTTTTAACAGATTTGCCCCCATGTGTGCTTGCATTTCAGGTACACCCAAGGGACAAAATAGTATTTTTTATCTAAAGTGCAAAGTGGCAGTTAAATTAACTTCCATGACTGTGAATATGTCATAGGTTTTTAGGATATTTTCATTTGGATCTTCTTGTCCTGTGGCATCCCTCCAGCATTCCACTGAAGGATCTGTAGAAGTTTTGAAACGCCCTGACAAGGGCGATTTCTCTTATAGCTTCGTTTCAAGCTAATCATAATAATTTGAACTCAACTACAGAGTTATAGACTATTTTGCTGTATGAGTATACGTTGCCCAGGGAGCACCACGTGGAGGTAAGTCTATTGCACACCCCAATGGCAATTAAATAAACTCATATATATTTTAGTCAAAATCTATCTTCACACATTCACTTTATTCCAAGAGGTACTCCTTCCCAAATTAAACTATTGGGCATGATTTGATCAAAGACACTAGTAACTACTACTCGTGCCCATAAGCGATGCTTCCGTACATTAGCCTCAGTTCCATTTTAGCCATTCCTCTTGGCATAGTTGCATTTCTATTTCATGGGTGCAAATATTGTAAATAGGTATATGTCGGTGTTCTTATCTTTGATCATATTCCAATGGGAGGGGGCTAGTGAATCACCAGATTTCAATATTTAGGGTCATTTTGAGAGACACTTCGCTTGGGAATGGCAAAGTTAAAAACAAATTGCTTTACATAATTTCTTTATTTCATGAGGTCTGGCATGTTTGTGTAGGTTATATTAAAAATAAGCCTTGCCTTCAAGAACCCAGCTATTTTGGGAGGCAATATCGGATACGCAAACCAATCCACAGGCCCTAATGTTCCGAAATTCCAGAATAAAAATAGCGCCAATAACACTGGTATTTCCCTAGCTCTTTATATCTCTTTCGCCCTAGCATGAAATGTAATCATTGATATATCACTGAAACCTGAAAGCCATTCGATTCCTTACTCTAAAGTTATTTATCTTTTAGGGCACATTTTTGGGCCAAGACGGGTGTAGTATGGGCTATATACATAACCTGCCGAATACTGTCATTACAATTCTTGAAATTGTTAAACAGTTTTAATGTGGTATTTAAGTATGAAATTAGAATATAAATTTAGGTGATTAATTAGACAAAAGGGTTAATTAGTAGGGAAATACCTCCAATTGTTTTCCGCAAGCATTTTTTAAGACACGCTCCGTCACCGCCCGAAGTAGATTACGATCTAATGTAATAGAAAGTAGAATATGTGGTCATTATTAATATCTCAAACAGAAAATCATAAATGCAAATCGATAAGAGTACATAGTGGAAGCTTTCAACAAACCCTTCAATACGTTGAATTACTAATCTGGCAATAATCACAGTGAGCTGAATATAAATAACAGTTTACTGAGAGTGTTCTTTATCTAGGTACATAATATTTATTTATTTATTTCAAATAGCAGGCGTTTTGATAGTTGCTTATTGTGTACCACGTGGAGGTAAGTCTATCACACACCCCAGGTACATAATATAATGATGTCACAACGCGAAACTTCTTATTACCAATTTTATAATAAAAAACTTTCCTAATAAAGGAATCGATAAAGATATCGTCATGAAAGCAATCGAAATTTTAGTGATTGGGGAGTTTCTAAGTGGATCCGGAGTGAATTCTTGTTCATGTACTTGTATAAAGCACAACATACCATATACTATAAACAGCCTATTACAAAGATTAGTGTTTGCCAAAAAAGATGACTTAAAAGTTAATTGCCTCTTGGGAATTCCTTTACCACATAGTTGATCCCATTTGTCGAATATTTTATTATCAAGAGGTTGCAATACATTTTGTTTTATATAAAAGCAATTAGAATTTCCGTAAAAATAAAAGAAAAAACCAACGTATAAATACATATATATGAAAATTCAAAAAAAACGATCCTATATTGAAATATTTTCTAAAAGTTTTATATATTTGCCAGCGTAAATAAAATTGCTCTGTGGATAGACAAAGTTTGGCTAGCTTTTAAAATACCTTAATATCTAAAAAAGCATGATTTTGAGAAAATATATTAGGAATATGAATAATACAAGTTAGCCAACGTGGACGAACAGATAATTTTCCGAAACATCAACTAAACAATCAAAACCTTGCCAGGAGATACAATCAGTAAGATATGGAGCACTTAGTAGATAGTTTTCTCCAAATTACTACCATCAGTTTCGTTTTAAACTAAGTTAAAGACAATGCATGCAAACATTACAAAATGATGTTCAAGCATGTCAACTCAAAACGTAATAACTTCAACGGAATTTGATTAAATTTGGAGAATAAATAGATTTCCCGCATCGTTTCTTTGCTCATTTTCTGCAACATCTGACTTGTTAATAGGAGCTTCATGAGGTTTATCCCACTTGGAAAGGCACCCGCTTTAACTCAAATTTAAAATTAGTTTATCTATTGCCTTGCAAACCAAAATTTAATCTTACATATTCTAATTTTTTGCTGTATTTGCTCGACGCTTTCAAAAAGCTTTTGGTTCCCATTAAAAAAGGTAAATGAGGCATAAAAAGGAATAAATATAAACAAAAAACAGTATCAAAAGCAGCCTTTTTAACAAATTGAAAAGATTTATAAACTCGCTAACTGTAAATTGAGAAATGCTTTCTTTTAAATTATTCTTAACTCTAAATTTTTACCCAAATTCGTATTGTTTCTTAAATCAACAATTCCCAGTGTGCGGTTTCCATAATGCTCTTCGGATTCATCCTTTCCACTTTTCGATGTCTTCTCACAAATATCCGGTGCTTTGAGGAGATCCAACCACACTTGACCAGCTGTATCTCCGAGACCACAGTTTTGAAGGTCAATAGCCTTCATCCAGTGGTCATCTCGTAGTACCTCGCAAAGTAACTTGGATCCTTGGTTACCGATTCGTTGGTTGTTATTTAAAGTTAGACGACGCAGGCCTCCCATGACGTCTAAGTTCGGTATCTGGTAGCGAAGAGAGTCCTTCCACACTTCTCCTTGACGCCGGAGAACATTATACTACAAAGCAAAGTATAAATATTTATAGAATTTTGCAATCGGTACTTAAACAATATGCATTTGCACTCGCTAAATATTCATTTTTAAAGGTAATTGTTGAGCAAAGAAAGTTTTAACTTATTTATGAATGTAATACACATCTTAAAATGCGCTCTTTTATACAAGGTGCTGTTTAGCAGAAATCTAGGTAACGTTTAAAATTCCTTGTTAATTCTGTTTCGTTTATTTTTGCTTCAAGAGTTTTGGCTGCTTGGGTGAATACTAAATGTTATAGCAAATGTCTGTTTGTTTACTAATGGCAAATGTCAAAAAATTTATTCGCTCCATAAAATTTACTTTCAATATTTTTCCCCTAACTCTCAAAAGTATGAAAACTCTTGTGCGGTATAAAGTTTTATTCACTGGCCTCAACATTTGTCTTCACTTTAACCTTCTTGTTCAAAAATTGAATCCTTTGTGATTTGAAAAATCGTTATTGAGTATAAAAATGGGAATCTGTGATCTCCTGGGTAAAGAATGTAACATCTGCGTCTCTTTGTATAGATCATAATTAGAAAAATTCGATTGAATTTTAGGGTAATTAGGTGTGAATCGAGTATGCAACTTTGACGATAGACTTACCTCCACGTGGTGCACCCTGGGCAACGTATGATCATACGGCAAAAAAGTCTATTAACTGGCAGTTGATTTCTAACTTCAAACTACCATGAACCCACTGTATGTCATATTTGACTACTTCCACAGTACTTGCCTCACCTTTTTCTCTACCTTTGAGTCTCTCTCTTTTACATCTTTGAAATACTATTCTATTCCACTCTCGACTTTTTTAACTCTGATGTTCCTTCAACTCTGTGGAGCCTGAAGTTAAATAAAGGGCTAATGATAACTATCAAAACGCCTGCAATTTGATATAAATACTTTGATCTTGCAGATTATTACACAAAGAAAAAGATAAACGATGATCAGAAGATCTTTTATGTGATGAAGTAAGTGCTAAGGAACTTCCTTAGTAACAAATTACTTTGTTGACTCTTTGAAGTCGATTTCTCCTGATGGATACCCTTAGATCAAAGAGTGTACTCGCTTAATTAACTAATTCATGCCAACATATTTATATCAATTTTGAAAAATAGCCTTCTTTAAGAGGATTTAATATCAAAAATTGAGGTGATTCAAGTCAAAATAATTCTACCAGCTGCAATTCCATTAATTTCACTCTTCGTTCATTTTATTATCTGATTTTATTGTTAATGCACAGAATAAATTTTATTTGGAACAAAAATAAAATTCCGTATATGCATATAAACTGCTTTTGCATTTTAAAATTTACTGCTGATTAAATCTAACTCTTACACAAAACTAGGATTTTTGGCAAACATTCCCAAATGAAGCTATAAATGAAATTGATACATTCTGAAGCAAGTCTTTTTAAACTCTCAGATGAAAGTAAGCTCATTTGTGATAAGACGAAAATGTGGAAATACAAACTGATGCGAATCCCACTCTATCTCCTGTATCAATACTTGCAAATGTAACTAAATGGATTACTCTCAAATTCCCGAGCAATGAAGATCAAAATAGATAGAGAGAGAGTAGACAGTCGAAAGTTTGGAAAGTTGGATCCATTGCTTTTAAGAGTACAATCTACAGTTTTACTTACGAACCACTTTCAATGCTCTGCTAAATATGATTGTGAACAGAAGGCTTTATTTCCACAATGTAGCATTGGTCTATGATTTTAGAAGGCGCAACTAATACTTCATTGCCAATCTGTTAATTTTAAGATGACTTTTTGCATTTTGGAAATTGATGAACTGAGTTCGAAAATGGTTTACGATTCAGTGCACCGTAACTGGAGCAAACCGACATGAAATTTAATTTACATTTTTTTAAATTGAATTGCTCATGGAATTAAACGAATGAAATGGCAAAACTTTTAATAAAATCCTGTAAACTAGTGCAAATATCAAAAGAACCTTTTAGTTGAAATGGTTCATTAAGTTAAAATAAATAATAATAAAATTGGAAAAGATGTAAATTCTTTTGAAATGGAAAATGAAATAAATGCGTATTTTAATTGCCCATTTAAATTTATAACTTCAATGTGCCAGATTATACCCGATAAGTCAAGAAGAGATTTAATTAAGAAAAATTCTTTAAACGACGGAATTTGGCAAAATGGTTGAAATTGATAATTATCATTCTGAAATTTTGCTGTTAAATATTTGACTCAGGTATGTGGATTCCAAATGAAGATTTTCATTTCTACGAAGGCTATAAAAGTTTCCCCGATTTTTCGGAAAGAAAATTAAACCGAAAAATTATATCGCTATAAAAGAAGATGCATACAAATTATCAGCTGTTATTCTTCAACAACGGAGGTATATAATTTTGTGGTACAATTTAAGTCATTAAAAAAATGCCGAAACGGCTTTATGAAAATCAAAGATTCCAAGTGAACATCTATCTGCAATACTAATTATTATTCGTTCTTAAAACATTTCGATCGTTGAGAAGTGATTTCAAGAAGAATTTGATGGCAATTCTCTGGAATGCCGCTCTCACCTAATTCTTTTTACATTTTCGAAAATATTTCGAACCACTAAAGAAAGTATACATACCGATTCACCCAACTATGAGTTAATAGCAACAATTCAGAAAAATTCATGGTTTTGAGCTCTAGTACTAACTAAGGTATTTCTATAATTATTTTAATCATTAATAGTTTTACCAATTGTGTATTATTTCATTTCTTGGATCAGCCACAATAATTGAGTCACTTATTGGAGTTTTCCGATGCACTCTTAATTATCTTTTAATTGATTAACTATAAAGTAAGCCCAATAATTGTAGGTTTTGAGTTAAAAACGGTGTCTTATCTCCTTATTGCAGTTTAAACTTCAAAGGTGACTAATATTCTAAGCTGCGTTTATTATTTTCTCGATTCATAAAACTTAGAAATCGCGTTGCGTGAATATTAAAATTTCACTTTTAATTTTAAATAGGGCGAAATGTGTTTAAATTATGAAAACACCTTTAAAAATGTTTGAGGCAATTATAATTATTCAAACATCTCGTTATGACAAGCAAATTGCAATTAATCAGCAAACTATTGCATAACAATATTATTAGCCAAATATATATAAGCAAGCGCAACTAGGATTTAAAGACACAAGTAGGTGAATCAATGATAAAATTTGAAATAAGACGATTGTTAGAATTTCGTCTTGTGGTGGTCAAAACACTTTAAAATTTTCTTGAATTAAGATGAATGCCTTAGTGTGGGCAAATAAGGAAATGAATCTTCAATTCTATCTGAGTAAAGTATATTTGATCATGTAAAAAATATCGATTTGCTACACATTTAGCAGACACAGAGCATCTATTTCATAAACCATCAACAAAAATTTAGTATATGCACTAATATTTTTCCAAAATGCTCTCAATTCTTGCAGAGGGTTCAACATTTTAGTGATGAAAATTACTGAAAAAACTAAATGAAGATTTAGATAATATTTAATAAATTATTTAATGTGAATTCTAAATATTGCATCTGGAAAAAAATTAATGTTGTATAGACTAATTCATTAAAATTTTTCACGAGAATTTATTTTAAATCAAGACAGTAAAAGTCGTTGCCACTAACAGAAATAAACTGAGCGCGACGAATACTAAACAAACAAATCTTGACACAAAAAAATCTGTTTTTAGAATGTTACATCTTCAAACATCGTTTTATGCATAGTTCATATAAATAAATAATGAATTTCTTAATTTCAATAAATGTTTGACGAATAAACACGTTACTTTCATGATGAAACAAAATTTATCTAAAAATTTAATTTCTAATTAAGCTTTTAATAAATCATTCACTAGTCAACTTAGAGGATATGAAATGCTTAATAAAATTTGTATACTTAATGTTACTAATTTCAAACTATTTTCGATTATTCACATTTAAATGGAAATTTTTGACCTCTATTCTTTCATGTAATAAATTGAAATCATTTAAAATTTCAACAATAGTTTTTAGATATTTTTTATTTGAAAATGACTTTCTATACTTCTTAAAACCTATGTATTTTATTCTACAATGGTATAAAATCCAAACACTGAATTAATAAAAATTTGAGAGACTTCTTACATAGCGATATATGATTAATTTGAATTAAGTTAAAGACGGGGAGAAACCCCCTCGCGCATAATTAATTCCATTGTCTGTTTACAGACGCACTATCCCACATTAGGTCATTCGGTTTTCATTGGTCATAGATTCAAAAACCAATTAGAAAACTTGGCCAAACGGGTTTATAAAAATCACAGTTCACGCGCATATACCCGTACCAGACACAGTTCAGAAAATGAGTAAGTATTTTGCTGAATATTTAACTACAATAAATTAACTTTAGATATCGCATTTAAGTAATTTCTACCATTTTAAAGCAGCTTAAAGACTTTAATTATTATTTATGTATAAGAAAACATATTAACAAATAAGAAATGTTTACAAAAGTAAATGTAATTTAGTTAGAATGCTTAAATCAAAGTATATTTTCACGGAGCTATTTTCCCATTGAAATATAACGTCCTAACATTATAGAAGAGGCTTAAGATATACAATTTCATTTGCCCATAGGGGAATTAATAAATAAGCTGCTCATCTTAGCGCATATATATTCAAATAAACTTTTTATGCTTATAACTTTCGCACTAACACTTACCTCGAAGATTATATAATTCAATAGATTAATTGCAAGTATTGATTTATCATTACCATGGAAATGGTAGGAAATTAAATACTCAAACACAGACAAAGCTCGTTGAAAAGTGAGATGATAAATTTCTTGTCATAAATACGCTTTTATATCATTATTTGGAGCATTTAGAGAATTAAAACATTTAGAAATGGATTGTAGAAATATCAGCGTTCTCATGCATTGTCAAAATGCTTCTTAAACACTCCAACCCTGATGAAATTAACTACATCAACGTTAAATAATTAGTTCTTGTACCAATTTAACTTCAAATTTAGTTCATTTGTTTTACGCTTAAAATAGTCAGGAATTTATTCCATTGTTGGACTCACTGTTCTTGTAATTCAAATACGAAAATCAAAAGCTTGTAACGACGAAAATTGCAAGCATATATCGCGATATCAATAAGACCTTTCAGCGCGTGAAAGTGATATTTACTCATACCTTCAATTCATCGGTGATTTTATAAAAGTCCCCTTTTCTCTAACTTCTACAGATGATTCGGTAAATCGAACTATCACATCAATGCATGGAAAAATTATCTATCAACATATAGGTGATTGGGTTTCTCCCCCAGAACATTCAGAGGATAATTCCAAAGTTAGTCCACTCGTCGCTGTTATTGCAATTGGAAGTATCTTTCTCCTTCTCACGATCTCCATTCTAGTCATAATTATAGTATTTCTCCGAAGAAAATACAAAAAAGAATCGCGAAATCTATATGGCGAAATAAATTTCGAGACGCGAGGAGGAGATGTCTACATTAACCCGTCCAGTGAATGGCGATGCAGTCTGGATTCGGATAGTTTCGAGGACATGTCAGACGTTTCTATGGAAATAGAGGTTGATGAAGAAACAGAAGGAAGGATTGACCAGGCAACAAGTGGTTGGGTTGCCACTAACTCTCATCTCTGTCCAAAACACTCGAGAATTCTCCGAATTGAAGGCTCAGAGATAAGAACAGCGACGTGCATTCACCAAGTTTAAGTACCTTCAACGACTTTTGTACAAATCAAGCTCATTTGCAAATGAATCTATTATGTGCATATTTTTACTATGAATGTTATAAAGTTTAATTTTGTGGTTTCGTATTATTTCTAACACCTGTTTATTCCACTCATCAATTCTCTCAATATCATCTTAATATTAGAAAAAAAACCGTAGTGACGACATAGCGGCTGGCCATAGCCAGAGTGTTTCTTTAATATTTCGGATTTCAAAAGAATTATTTTGTGACCATGCTAATAAGTATGTTCAAAAATCTTGATATAATAAAAAATACATATATATTTTATTCACTGAAAAGTAATTTAAAAATGCTAAAGTCAATCTTCGTTCCTAAAATCTGAGTTCAATTGTAATGTTAAAGTATCACCACCTTAAATGTATCATCACAAAAAGTCTAGAATGGAAAGAGTAGATGGAACGATTAGTTATTATAACTTATGTGTTTGGTGTCCATTGTATTCAAACATCAAGTAATTAAGTACTTTTAATAAATGCAAGTACTCAATTTATGTGTCAATAAGTTCAAAAAAATCATGAAGAAACCTGTCACAAACATTTTGTTTTCCTAGCAACTAGTTACATATAAATATATTTTGGTTCATGTCAGTTAAGACTGAATTGAAAATCTTAATACCGAAGTTTAATTGGCAAATTGTGCCAAGACTAAAACCTAATATAGCCTTATATAAAATAAGTAGGAAAAATATGTGAAATGGATAAGAAAATTTAGATCCCAGTACATGTCAACTTTTGGAACAACAGACTATGAACAATTTAAGGTTAAGAAGGCATTTTGAACAAGCGCAAATAATCCATATGTGAATATCGAGACAGCCCGTAGATTTTTGCTGATGCTGTATTTCTGAACAATTTAGTTTCACATTCGGCGTTAAAAAATGATCATTATTTCTAATAAATTGCTTAAAGTATCGAAAAATTGTTTTAGCGGAAAAATTGTCAATCTTGTTTTTTAAAGGATTGATTGTGGCTTTTACTATCACTATCTTTAGGATTTGTGTAAATTTGATAGAAATGAATTTAATCTCAACTGCCCTAATTGTTTTAATTAAATGAATTAGCCTTAATGATTCCAGACACTATAACTTTCGGCTTGAGTTCATTCAGCAAATACCTTCATGCCAAACATATCGAATATACCGAATTCCTAAGTGAAAGGCTGATTAAATTTGACTTGAGTAAAAGAAATGTAACCTGGACCATCCATTCAAAGGAAAGTCAATGTTGACATCATCTCTTTTCAATTAGCTCTAACTGTTTTGTTTGGTTGACCACTCAAGAGGTAGTGAACCAAAGCCAAAGGAAGCATGCATTTCCATTCTATTCTAGTTGCGTTCTAATGGTGGCAGTGCTCGCGGATTCCAGTTCAGGAAATATTCCTCCGTTGAATGTCCTTAAAATTCTGGCAACATTTCTTCTAACAGCAAGAGATGTGTGGTGTGAATTTCAATTCTTCACATAATTCGTAAAATCGGCTGTTCAAATTATCATTAGTAGTAGTAGTAGTAAAAATTTAAAATGAGTTGCTAATTTCTTTCCACCCCACAGAACAGTAAAATAGACTTTAAATAGGCGTAAAAGTTATGGCTGCTAAATTTAGATTGATAAGCAGCGACTTGATATGTCTTATCAAGTATGAGATATAAGCTTTTTAGATTGAGCATATGATCAATAGCTAAGCCAGAAAATGGTTTAAAAATCAACAACTTGAATCAGAAATAATGTTTACATTATAAGAAGTCATTAATAACATCAGAAGTGTAAAGATATATCACCTTTTTCATGAATGAATTTATGGCGTGGTTAGGAGACAACTGAACTCCCATTCAATAATAACTTAACGTTTAAAATACAATTATTTTAGTCCAATTTTAGACTTATATCTTAAATTTCTTACTGATAATTTTGTAATGATTCAAACTATTGCGTTTTAATTACTTCAACTAAACAAGTAAATCACACTAAAATAAAGAGATATTACCTCTTGTGGATATTATTGTTTCACACTTTTACCTACCTCTAGGTTTGAGGAAACAGAAAATAAGATTGGAGATGTCATTCCTTGAATTAGCAGTAACAATAAGTTTAAGCTTACCCAGACATAAAGTTTTATCGGGCTTTACTACATACCAAAATCGGGCTCACAATGATAATTCCTCAATTAACTAATAATTACTGTTTGTGCTACCAAGGAAACGTATTTTAAAGCCTGATTGGGTGCGAAGTAGTACTAAGACGCCAGTTTATTAATCACGTTTCAAAGTGCTAGTAAAATACCATCTTCGATACCGTCAAGGAAAGTGTTCAAAACACATGGCTTGTATGGAAATAAGGTGACAACTTTTTCGATAAACGCACACTCTTCCATAACTCTTGCAAAACAGAATTAGCCCTTTAGTTGTCCCTCAATGGAACTAAATGTTCAAACTAAATAATTGGCTTTGCATGCTTTGGCTTTGCTGGCTAGTAATGTCGACACGAACACTAATATACAAGCAGAATGATCAAGCCTATCTTTTAGTGAATGCGCACCGCATTCAGGTCAGATCATGGTCATCTGTATCGCAAAATCGATAAAACGTAGTATCCATTCTTGCAAATCCTTCTGTTGTGCTAAAGCAGAAGGTATAATGAGGGAGACTTCTTTATTACCGATAAAGGAATCCTCTCAAATGTTCTTCAATCATCAGCTCTTAACGTGAAACGTAAACAGAGCTATCATATAACTGTATTTTCATTTTTTGATCAACTCATAAAAGGTGTTTGTTGGCTTGGCAAAGCAACTGGCAAAAGATATCAAAAATAGTAACCAATGAGGTGATCTAATCCCTGAAGTGACGTCAAACATATAATAGATGGGGTTAACTGCAATTCAGCCTTCCCTCATTAAAATAAAATTTGGCCATCCATACTTTTAACACATGACTAATTCAATATTTCAAGTGGCCTTTAAAAGATCAAAAACTCATTTTTTGGGCATTACAATTTAATATTATTTATCTCGTTGTAAAGATTTCACATTTTGAACAAGAAGCGCTATAAAAATAAGTTGATAGGTAAATGAAATATGAGCCGAGCATTCATACGAACTAAAACAAAATGTGATACAATTATTGCGTAAAAAAGACAATATTTTCATTTCAAAAAGAAAAATTTTGTTTTCACTAAGTCACCTGACTTAAATATTCCCAAAAGGACGAGAAATAGCAAAGTTAATCAATTAAATGCGGAAGGTGGCAATTACTTTGCGCGTACGTTATAATACATTATTTAGTAGCGATTGCGAGCGTAAATGCTGATTACGTGAGTTTCGTTCTCAGGCGTGGGAGGAAGGGGAGGGGGAGGTCGGGGATCAAATATTTTAATTTTCTCCTCTCACAACCATGAGGGGATTAAGAGGTAAAATTGGGAGAAGTATTCCCCAATGTAAACTTTGAAGTTGCTGAAAGATGATTGGAGGGAGACTCAGTATCAAAAAAGTACTTCACAGCTAAATTACTACCTTTTGTGAGAAAGAAAGAATGTGTATTTGAAATTTATTCATTTGTAGCCGTTAAGATACAACTTACGAAGTGAGTAAGTTCGGAGTAATTGACAACTTTGTGGGATAGTTTGTGAAATCCAACAGAGTTGAACATAAAATAATAAGCTGGGTTTGGATAATTAATGAGTAATAGTTCCAGCAATCTAGCTTAAATTTCAACCTAAAATTGAGTGATCTTCAGCAATTTTAAAAAGCATGTATAGTCAAGAATCCTTATATAAAAGGTTGATAAGTTATTTTTGTTCCAATTTCTTTAACAAGTGGCATTATGCACGGGTAAGTACTTTAGGAAGATAAATTAAGTGCAAATCCCCTTCGTCAAAATGGCGGGCGAGACAATGATTTGTCCCCAATCGAATGATATAATTACTAATCTAAATAATCAGATAAATGGTTTTTACGAAAATATTGCCAAAAAAGTCATACAATGTAAATGAAAAAAATTTGGAGAATAATTATACCGTTAATAAATTCATAAAGCTTAAAGAATGGATACTTTATCGTCTAAGTAAAGATTTTATTAAAGATTGAATTAAAAAGGTTACTTAACCAATCGAATCCCAATAAACTTTTAAATTTCGAATAGTAAGAAAAGTTTTTACTTTTTTAATTTTAACTTCATTTTATAAGGTTTCTACTAAGAAGGATTGGCTCACTGGTTACATGTCTAATTGATTTTCACTTTGGAATTGAGTGTGAATTGTACTGTTGTAAAAAGAGTTAGGATAACATCTCCAGCAATACTTTGCGCATGAGAAGAGATAATTTTCTCGACATGGCAAACTACGCACTCAGTTATGTTCACGACAAAAAAATGAATTTAATCTTGAAAACATGAAATTGAAATCTGAACGAGTCGAGCATAATTATAAAGACGGCAACCAAGTGAATGGTTTATTTAAAAGAATTGAAATTTGATCTCCGATTATATAGTTTTTTTGTTGAGTAAAGTATTTTTTATTTATATCAAATGGCAGGCGTTTTGATGGTCATCATTAGCCCTTTAGTTGACTTTAGGCTCCACAAAGGGGAATGAGCATCAAAGTGAAAAAAGTCGAGAGGGGGTGGGAAAAAGTGTGTTTCAAAGGTGTAAAAGAGCCAGACACAAAGGTAGAAAAAAGGTGAGATGAGTACTATGGGAGTAGTCTAATATAATATACAGTGGGATCATGGTAGTTTGAAGTCAGAAGTCAACTACCGATTGATAGACATTTTTGTCGTATGAGTACACGTTGTCCAGGGTGTACCACATGGAGGTAAGTCTATCCCACACCCCTTTTTAAGTAAAGTAGCATTCCATTTTCAATATTTTAGAATTATATATTGAAATTAGTTTAAAGAAACTGTAGGAATTCGAAGAATTGCAATTTTTATTTTGGTGGTAAACATATTCAAGCCTATTTAAAATGAGAGACTA